TCCCCCCCCCCCCAGGCAGTTTTCAGAACAGAGCTTAGGATATGACTTTAAGGAACTGCAGCTCTTTAAAAGCTGGCTGGGGATTTCTGAAAGGCAAAAAGCAAAGGTTTCAAGGCGTCAGTCTGGTGCCTAGAGTGGGGGGTTGTGTCTATAGCACGGCCCTGTTGGTGCTTTCGTAAAAATGGGCATCCCCGTATTTTGGCTTGTTGTCGGTGGGTTTGAGGGAAACTTGGGACGAAGGAGACGTTTTTTCTTCCCTTCTTTGCCCTGAACTGGGGCCCTGTCGTTCTGTCTCTCTGGCAGAAGCTGCCTTCTCCAAGCGGACTCGGAGAGGCACCAGCAAGCCTGGGTATGCGCCGTCCAAAATAGCATCGCGTCAGCTTACAGCGAGGACCGGCTGGAGTTCTCAGGGCAGGTACGGACGGATCTTGCCAGAGTGCTGAGACCTCGATACCAACCGGAAACTTACCTTTAAAGGCCAGGTTATAAGGTCTCTGAGCCCTGCTTGTGTCTCTTCCACCCCAACTTGGGTATGGGAGATCTGCTTGAAAGCCGCCGGGGTGGGGAAATGAGAAAAGAAAACTAGAATACACTCCCACACTCCTTTCTTCCCCCATCCCCACTGGAAAAACTTTTTTTCTAACAGGAAAAAAAATAGAAGCCTTCAAGAACTTAGAAAAACACTCCGACAGCATGTATTTTTGCCTTGGGAATGAGCGGAATGCTTTTTAAGATAACAGTTTGCTCGCTCCGAATACCGGGGACAGCATAGGGCTGAGGATTCGTGTGGTTTGCAGAGTTAAGAGCGTTACATGTTGCCATTTTGAGCAACAAAGATATGTAATGAAGTTATGTTTCAAAACAATGATAAGGATTAAGATGAAATTTACATTATTCTTGCAACAAACCTTGTTTTCTGGTTACTTCGAAACTCCCTTTTAAGTCACATTTCAGAGGTGTATTTGAGAGACATTTTCAAAGAACTGTGCCATACGCATTAATCAGAAAGTTTTATTCGTTCAGTGTAATGCAAAGCGCAAAGCTGTAGATAACGCAAGGTACTTGTTCAATATTGCATCGGGGTGGATTCCTTTCAAAAGATTCTAATGAGTGAATGATTTCTAAAAAGTTGCTCTACATCCTCTCACTGATCACCGGCCAGTTTTGAATCTACTGAGGATGGTGCCGGGAAGATGAAATTCGGTCGACGGGCGTCCTGCTACGACCGTTGGAAAGGATTGCTCATCAGAGATGTCTGTTTCTGGAAATCAACCCCCCCCCCAAAGCAACTTAGAGTTCCTAAGGCACTGGATTGCAAATCCCATCCCCAGCTCACCAGGGGATTTTGGGACTTGTAGTCCCCAAATCTAACCTTCCCCCAGCTCTGGAAAGCTCTTACCTGCGGTTGCTTGGCAGCTGGAGGTGCCGAGGTAGAACATGGAAATGTTGGGGTCTGAAGGAGATGCTCCTACTCCCCAGGATGATGGTGTCCTCTCCTTCTCATGCAACCGGTGGCTGCCAGGGAAAGTGTTTCCCAGCATGTGGCAGCTTTCAGCTTGACTTTGTTGTTTAGTCGTTAAGTCATGTCCGACTCTTCGTGACCCCGTGGACCAGAGCAGGCCAGGCCCTCCTGTCTTCCACAGCCTCCTGGAGTTGGGTCAAATTCATTTTGGTCGCTTCGATGACACTGTCCATCCATCTCCTCCTCTGTCGTCCCCTTCTCCTCTTGCCTTCACACTTTCCTAACATCAAGGTCTTTTCCAAGGAGTCTTCTCATGAGACAGCCAAAGTCTTGGAGCCTCGATCCTTCCAGTGAACACTCAGGGTTGATTTCCTTTAGAATGGATAGGTTTGTTCTCCTTGCAGTCCAGGGGACTCTCAAGAATCCCCTCCAGCACCACAGTTCAAAAGCGTTGATTCTTCGGTGGTCAGCCTTCTTTAGGGTCTTAGACTGAGAAATTTTGCATATGGCTTATTTCCTCCATAATACAATGGCTGTTCATTTCACTCCCATTTCACTCTGGAAGCCAAGCTCCTGTGGCCTCCTGCATTTTCTGAGATTTCAGCATTGTTAGCCAGCACCTATGGCATCCTTTGTCCCCATTCTTAAGGGGATGAAACTTGACTTATTTGTTGGTTGTCAGATGAAACCGACCAGTGATGCTCAAGGTGGAGATGGCATTGCTGGGTGAATGATTCCTGAACCAGCGTGCTGTGTTTCCAGACCTTGGTTCTGCTTCCTTCCAGCCCCTGGAACGCACCACATCCCTCGTCGCTGCCAAGCTGCAGTCACCGTCCGGTCGCAGGCTGCGGGGCGGCGTGGACAAGCACGTCTTGGACCAGGTGCAGCGGCTGGAAGGCAACGCCCAGTGCTGCGACTGCCGGGAACCGGCCCCCGAGTGGGCCAGCATCAACCTGGGGATCACCCTTTGCATCGAGTGCTCCGGCATCCACAGGTGACTTGGCCCCAGCGGCGCCCGGGACGAGAGGGAGGGAGGACGAGGAGCCAACCTCGCTGGGCCCTTTGCTTTCGCTTCAGCGTTTCCCTTCTCCACGAGGAGGAAGCAGATGGGGGGCACCTTAAAAGAAAGGTACAGCTGCTCCCCAAGCCTGGGTGAGGATGATGGAAGCTGTGGTTGGACACATTGAGAAGGCCCCAGGTTGGTTGAAGGAGGGGTAGGATCCAGAGCTTGTAAATAATACATTGCAGGCAAAGGAGTGGCGTGCAATGAGTTATTATTTTTGTAACAATTTCGATTTCAATTCAATTTCAATTTAATTTCAATTCAATTTCAATTCAATTTCAATTTATTATCATTGAATGTATATACACCATATACACATACAACGAAATTCACAAAGAACACTCAGAGACCAGACCAAAACACACACACACAGAGACACTCATAACAATCCTTAAGTCCCAAAACCACACCCAAGAGCTCATAGTATCCATACCACATACAACAGAAGAGACCAAGTCATAGTCATACAGTCCAACAACTCACTGCTGGTGATTCTTAAGTTCCTTGTTAAGTGCAATTATAGCTCTAGGATAAAAACTTTTCAAAAAGTGTGTCACCCGACTTTTAACGACGGAGGGGCGAGCTTACATTTGGTTCTGGCTTCCTTTCCTGGGTCCCCCCCGCCCCCCGCAGTTGATGAAATCAGTAGGAACAAAGCTATTTCACTGGTGTAACACATAACATCTCCCAACTACATTTACTTCAGATCATTTTTGAAAGCTTCTTCATAGGAACTTCCCCGCTTCTATATCCTCCCACACAGGAGTCTCGGTGTCCATTTTTCAAAAGTGCGGTCGCTGACGCTGGACTCCTGGGAACCTGAGCTTGTGAAGGTAAAGGGGGTGGATAAGCTGACTGGGGGGGGAATGATAGTTATCCAGATAATTTTGTCTTGTCTGTGAACCAATGTCTTCCAGCCCCATGAGCTGAAGAGGGCGTTGCAGCTGATGCCAAACTAAATATCATTCCACTTCCCAGCCAAAACCAAGATACACTTTGAACGTTGAATTAATTTGAGTGTACTTTACTCTTCAGTGAATAAGTGGCTGCAAAAGCCCTTCTGTTAGGGGCAGCAGGCCCAGGATCGGTGAAAATGTGTACATCAGTGAAAATATTATTTTGTTTATTTAAAATATGGCTGCAAAAGCCCTTCTGTTAGGGGCAGCAAGCCCAGGATCGGTGAAAATGTGTACATCCGTGAAAATATTATTTTGTTTATTTATTTAAAATATTTTTGCAACACAAAAGATTATATAAGGGAAACTGCATGCAAGAATACACAGACGGATAGATAGGTAGGTAGGTAGGTAGGTAGGTAGGTAGGTAGATAGATAGATAGATAGATAGATAGATAGATAGATAGATAGATAGATAGATAGATAGATAGATAGATAGATAGATAGATAGATAGATAGATAGATAGATAGATAGATAGATAGATAGATATCAGTGCAAAATAAATTTGATAGATCGATAGATAAAGGGAAGTTGCACAGAAAAAAATGCTGATATCAAAAGCAAAGTTCATTTTTTTAAACTGCAACTCCCAGTATCACCCATCCAATATTATGGGATATATTTTAGAAACCAAGGTCCAAAAAACCACGTCACTTTTATTGTTTAATGAATGCGCGCGCACCCATGCAGAGAAGAGATGAAGCTGGAAAAAAACGATACCTCTCAGTCGCTCTCTTCCGTCTGTTGCAGCTGATGTGTGAACTGGGGAACCGTGTCATTAACCAGATATATGAGGCTCGAGTTGAGGAGATGAACCGGAAACGGCCACAGCCTGGCTGTTCAAGGTAAACCATCCTTCCCTGCTTTTTTTAAAGCACTCCAAGCTGGCTCCTCCCTTGACAGCAAATGTCCATTCTTGCCCAACCTCTTCTGCCTTTGCTAAGAGTGGGCAAGTTTTCTGTGTTTCTGGTTTTGTTCCCACACCTGCCCAGTGGGTGGCGCTGTTGCACTGGGCTCGGTTGAGAGGGCAGCTGTTGCAGGCTTTGTCCTATAGATGTCACCTTTTTCTATACAGTGGTGCCTCGCTTAACGATGTTAATTCGTTCCAGCGAAATCGCTGTAGAGCGAAAACATCATCAAACGAAATAAAAAAACCCATTGAAATGGATTGAAAACCGTTCAATGCGTTCCAATGGGCTGAATACCTGCTTGTCCAGTGAAGATCCTCCATACGGCGGCCTTTTTCGGTGCCTGTAAGGCGAGGAATCTGTCCTAGAAAACAGCAGGGGCAATTTTCTTCAGCCGGCGGCCATTTTGAAACCCAGCGATCAGCTGTTTGCTGATCGTCGTAAAGTGAAGATCGGTTCCTGAAGCAGGGAACTAATCATCGCTAAGTGGAATTCTCGCATTTAAAACATCGTTTTGCGATCGCAAAAATGTCAACGTAACGCGGATTTGTCGTAGAGTGGGGTAATTGTCCAGCGGGGCACGACTGTATACTGTTACATACCACCCAGGTCCCAAGAGCATGATGAAATTTCTCTTTCTCTCTTCTGGAAGTCATCCCAGCCATGTACTGAGTGCCTCTGAGCATGCGAAAAGCAACATTTGAATCAGAAACTGAGCTTGCTGTAGAGTGAACAGGTGGATGGGACTCGATGTGGCCTATAAGCCCCTTCCAACTCTTATTATTCTGTGATTCTAGATGGTTTTTTTTTTCTCCCCAGGGCAGAGAAAGAGGCCTGGATCCGGGCCAAATATGTGGAAAAGAAGTTCATCACTAAGTTTCCCAAGGCTGGGCTGCGACCAAATTGGAGCGGGGATATCCGGGGGTCTGAGAAGCCGCCCAAACTCTTCCCCAAACCAAAGCCTCCATCTCAGACCCGGAGGAGTCTGGGTACGGAGAGAAAAAGTTCAGTCTCTTCTCAAAGGCAGGGTGTATAAGATGGGGGGCCTGGTGGGTGGATTTTAGGGGGGAAATATTTGGGTTGGCCAGGGAGGTAGAGAGCCTCTCCGTCTCCGCTTCCAGCAAGCTGCAGATCTAAATGTTAGCTGACTATAAGGTGGAGCAGAGCAAACCTTTGCCATCGAGGGGCGTGAGAGATGATCTTCAGGAGAAAGTTGTCTTCCGATCCAGGGTGAGAAGGTGAATCGATGGAAGTAGGGAAATCTGAGCCAGCCTCACCACCATTACCCGGTGGAACTCACCGCCACAAGAATCCATGAAGATTAGTGGCAGAGATGCCTTTCAAGTGGAATTACAGATAGACCCACAAAGGTGGTGTTTTCCGGCTTTGGGGAACTTCTAGGTTTGCAACCCATCCTCTCCTTCCGAGAAGTACCTTTGTCAGCTTTCCAGAGGCATCAGGCGGTGGGTGCAAGGAAAGCAGATGGTGCCTTAAAGGAGGATTATGGCCACTCTGCTGTTATTTGGGTGGCGCTTCTCATACGCTCTCACGGCTGGCTGGGGCTGATGGGAGTCGTAAGCCAGGCAAACTCTGGAGAGCCTCAGCGGCCGAGTTGGGAACCAGAAAAGGAGGGCTTGGGGTCCAAGTTCAGTAATTCTTGGTTTATCATCCTCTTGAGTCCGTCCCATTCTTCTTCTCACCTATTGAGAACAGGAATAAAAACGGTAATTATAGGGGGAAAAGGACTAATAAGCCATTAGACCAAAGAGGCAATATAAAACACATGATAATTTCATACAGGAAAGTGCCGTGTTCTTACCTGTCTCCTTCCCTCTCCTGACAGGTAATGCTCCAGGTCGCTCGAGTCCTGTCCCAGGTACTGTACGTCTTAGAGGAACTGCAGTCTTTCTAATGCTTTTCGTTTGGGTGAATTTGTGAGTCTGGATCAGCCTCTTCAGACCGGCTGGGCTTAGGGTTTGCTTGTGATGGATCCGGTCAGTTGGAACCCCAGAAATCTTATCCTTTGTGCTCCAGGCTTAAGGCCCATAAAATGATGATAAAGGCCAGGCAGAGTTGGGGAGGGTACCACTGAGCACGTGAAGAGCGCTGAGATAGCCCTTCTTGGTAAAGATGGTCTTGGTTGCTTCGCTTTCTCAAGTCCATGTTTTTTTTAAAAAAGTCTTCATGTTTTCCTCCTCCTCTTCCTCTCTTCTTCCCCCCCCCCGCCGCCCAAAGGCCCAGGAAAGTGTGTGAAATTCTTTTTATTTACAAAAGGGAAGCCCTAAAGATATATATTTGTGAATGACACTAGAGGTACAGCCTATTGCTTCACGTGTTCTGGGTGCCTCCACGCAGTGCAGAAAGACAGATTCTGTGGGGATTAGAATACAACTCCCACCATCCCCGGAGACTGCACCAGGAATGATGGGATTTGTAGTCCAAGCCCTCCAGATGCTTTCGCCAGGGCCGGAGTTGTGGCAATAGCTAACCTGTATTTGGGGCAGCTTTGGCATAATGCCGTCTCTGTCTGTCTCTGCGCCTCAGGGTCAAGGGAAGGCGTGACGCCCGTTGCCTCCCCTCCTGCTGAAGACTTGCAGAATCTCCATCCAGGAGCCCTGTTGTACCATGCGGCTGGCGCACCTCCCAGCTTGCCCACCATGGCAGACGCTTTGGCTCATGGGGCAGACGTCAACTGGGTGAACGTGGCTTACGAGAGCCGCACCCCTTTGGTTCAGGCGGTCACGGCGGTGAGTTGGCAGCTTGGTTCCAGAAAATGGGGGAGAAAGGCTTCTGGGGGTCTCGAACTCCCCCTTCGAACCAACGAATCCCATTTTCTTGGTTTCCCCCAGAATTCTTTGCTGGCCTGCGAATTCTTGCTTCAAAACGGTGCCAACGTCAACCAGCCGGACAGCCGGGGGAGAGGCCCCCTCCACCATGCCACCGTCTTGGGCTTCACAGGGTACGGCTGATTACTTTCTTTAAGATATGTTTGGAATAACTTTATTAAAAAAATGTTTTTAAAAATGCAATTACCTTTTAGCACTTATATATTCTGGAAAGCGCTGGGGAAAGTTCGTGTTTTTTAAAGAAAAAACTCCCCAGAATTCTGGGATGGGGGCCTCGTAGTATGTCAGGTTGCGATTTTAATTATGTTGTTGCTGCTGTCTGTTGTAAACCACCGAGGCCAGAGAGGCGATCATAAAATAAAGTAAAGTAAGTTTGGTTGTTGTAGGTTTTTCAGGCTGTTTAGCCATGTTCTGGTTGAGCAGCCCCCCAAAAATACAACCACGATCGATTCCTGGCCATGAAAGCCTTTGAGAATACATTAAAGTTTGTTAGTTTGTTGGTTTGCTTGTTTATCTGTCCCACGTTTCTCCTTAAATAGAACCCAAGGAGGCTAAATGTAGTAAGGAGAGAAAAATAATAATCTAAACTCTGGTTTAAACAGTATATGCATACCAGAAGTACAGGTGGTTAGATGAACCTGAACAGAATAAATTTGCTTTATACCCCTTCTGGATATTGATCCACCTCGTTCAGTCTGGTGCAGGCCTCTTTTTTTCAGAACCTGGTGGGTCGGGAGGTCCCAGCCTGCCCGAAGTAGAGCCTTTAGTGGCAACACGACTACATATAAACGCCTAAGAAAAGAAATGATTAAGAAGTGAGGTCTTTCAAAACATTTCTGGTCTGAAGGTGTCTGTAAAGGTTCAAGGTGCCCGGTTTACACGGGCTGGTAGTGGCTGTGCAGGATATCAGAAGGGAGGGGTCTTGGCGCCCCCCCTCCACCCCCGGCATGAGGACCAAACCCTGGATCCTTTCTGCCTGCTAACCGATGGCCCAAAAGAGCTGAATTGGAACCCAGGAGAGCCGCGTTAACATTGCAACCCGTCGCGTGCGATCTAGCCAGCTCAGGTCATGGAGACCTTAGCTTAGCATGGCCTTGCAAGACCTGAATCGCTAGAGTCCCAAAAGAGCCCTGCGAGGACTCAGCTCCTGGGCTAGCGGAGGATCTTGTGCGATTTGTGTTCTTCCACCGGAACAGAGAGACACCCGCTCGGTGGCCTGACAAGACACTTTTGGGTGGATTGAGCAGACCCGTGCCCTGTTCTTCCAGCAGAGGAAGGAAGGGGAGAGATGTCGTTCTGACTGTCTTGGACTGCAATGTAAGGATTTACACCAGAGGGTCAACCTTTAAGGGTCGTCGTCCAAATGTTGCTACTGATAGGTATACCAAGCCACTTAAATAGAAGCGGTTGTAGCCGTTGCCAGTTTCATGAAAGCAGCTGTTCAGGAGAGACGCTTTCCTCCCACTCTTTCTAGGCTGGCCTGCCTCTTCCTCAAACGGGGCGCCAACATGAACGCCGTCGACGCGGATGGGAAGGACCCCCTCAGCATCGCGATCGATTTGGCCAACGCGGACATTGTGACCTTGTAAGCCGAGCTCCCGTCTTTCTTCCCCGCCTGCCCTGGCGACCCAGCTGTCCTCGATCGGAAAGCTCCCGGCTGGCCATCGGGTGTGGGTTGTGCCCCTTTTAGAGACTGGGATAGAAGGGGAGGATTCTGGGAGAGAGGCCGATGGGGAGGAGGGGGATTCTGGGAGGGAAAAAGAGGGAGGGAGAGAGGGAGGGAGGAAGGAAGGAAGGAAGGAAGGAAGGAAGGAAAAGGAAGGAAGGAAGGAAGAGATGGAGGGAGGGAGGGATGAAGGAAGGGGGAAGAGGAAGGTTTGAGAATGAAAATTTTACCCACGAGGGTTTCACCTCTTGTGTTCATTTCAGCCTGCAAGGAAAATTGACCATATAGATAAGGAAGAGAAGGAGGATGGAAGTTAACACTAGAGTTTTATTTATTTTGCATCTTGATATGTGATTTGCCCAAGCTGAAAGCCCCACTGGCTTTGTTTGCAGCGTGCACAATGAAGCAAAACCAAACTCCCAGCAGTTATAAAAATAAACTACTAACAATTATATGAAGCATAATATTCAACCCAAGCAGCAAACAGCAGCCAGGCGTTTTGTAAATTTTCCTCTGCAGATCAAAGGCTGGATAATTCATGGATTTGATTAAAAGCAGATTCAGACCACGGTGGTCTTCAGTCTGTTATAGAAAAAGGTGTCAGCGAAGGACCCGGCTGCACTTCTGCAGGGAATCTAGCATAAAGTCCCTGTTTCTCAAGACTGATCCATGAGAGGGATTCCCCCTGACATATCAGGAAGCTGGGAGCACGAGTTCGTATAAGTGCCAGATAATGTGGCCTCAAGCTGTATAATAGATTAGAGATGACAGCCAGCGCTTTGAATCTGGAAGCACAGTCGTAATGGTTGGCCTTGTTTTGCTGTGGTCTCCTGGCCTCTTTCTATGGGGAGCTGCCTTCTCCACCAGCTGATGCTTCTGAACTATCTTCAAGGGCAGCCCCGGAGGCAGTGCTTTGCAGTAGTCCAGCCAGAGGCGCCACTAGAGGGCAGGAAGGAGGGCCTTTTCTGTTTTGGCTGACAGCTGTTTCTCTTTCTCTCCCACCCCCCACCCTCAAAGACTGCGGTTGGCCAAAATGCGAGAGGCGGAACTTGCCTTGGGCCAGTCAGGTGAGCCTTACCTGGGGTGAGGGCTGGGAACGAGGGAGGTTTGCTCAAGATCTCTCCGTGGTTTTGGTGTGTCTGCGGAGCCAGCGGTCAAGAGTTCGATTCCCCCAATGGGCCCCCTTTGGCAGGGGCTGGACTGGATGACTCACCGGGTCCCTTTCAGCTCTGCAGTTCTAAAATATGATTCTCATCATCATCATCACCATTCCTTTGGTAAAATGTAAGATGGGCTGAGCTGGCTTTGTCTTTCGGCCTCTTGTTTGTCCATTCTGTAAAACGGGTGTAAGACACGCAAGGTGTGGTTATTTAAATACCATATTTCTTCTGTGTATCAGACTATACTTTTGTCTAAAATCTTTAGACTAAAAATTGAGGGTCGTCTTATACACGGAAGTAAGCTGAGGAGAGAAGAAAAACAAGTGGAAGGGAAAGCAAGGATCAAAGCGATCCTGCAGCGCTTTGATCCCTTTCCCCCTGCACTTGCTAAGCCCCACTTAGATTTCTTAATTTTGGATTAGAAAAGGGGGGGGGCGTCTTATACATGGGGGAGTCTTATACATGGAAAAATATGTTATTTAGTGAATTGTTTAAAAACAACGGTACCTCTTTGGGGAGGGAGTAGGTAAGAAACACACACACAGACTCCCGATGCCGGCTTGTGCTTTTCCGGTCCCTTCTCCAGGAGATGAAACCTACCTGGACATCTTCCACGACTTCTCCCTCATGGCCTCCAACGACCCGGAGAAGCTGACCAGGCGAAGCTACGACCTGAAACTGACCACGTTGTGAAGCCAGCGGGGTGTGTGTGTGTGTGGAGGAAGCTTCCTTCCTGCTTAGGAGGAGAATAAGGGGGACGGGGCGCTGCCAGTCGGTCATTCGGAGGAAAGGCTTGGCTCTCAGAGAACTTGGGGGGGTGGGGGAAAGGGCACCAGGTTAAGACGTGACCCGGCTGCTCCTGCTTCCTGTCCAAACCAGTTGTATTGGTGACTTTGCACGGATGGTTCACAAGGATTCATGTTTTTCTGGGGGATTCTGGGGAATCCAAGAACTGGCAGAAGGGAAGAACTAAAATCTCTGGATGCCTCCCTTCAAACTCAGTCTTTCCCCCCTGTTGCTTTTTTTATTTATTACGCCAAGTCAGGACAGAAGGCTTTTCCATCCGAAAACTGAAGACTTTTTTTTCTCTCTCTGCTCCACCCGGCCACGATTCACCTCCCTTCCTGTAGCCCAAAGAGGCAAGACCCTTCCTCGGTGGGAAGAGGGAGAGGTGTCAAAATGAACTGTAGATGAAATGTAGGAAAGAAGAGGTGGAATAAATTCCTCTTTTTCCCAAGCGGGGAATCGAGAGGCATCCCTCTGTGCACGCTTGCCCGTGGGACGCTAAGAGGGCCAAAAGTCCTATTTTGCAAAAATCGGTCTCTTCTGTGCAAAGAGAAAGAGGTTCCAGCCAATGTTATTTTAGTTTATTTATGACCGAGACCCATCTGTGTCAGCCTGCAGTTCGTTAAATTCTTGTTTTATATTCTTTTTTTTTTTAATATAAAAGTATCTCTGGCCAGATCACCTGAGATGACAAGCGTATATGGTTGGTTGCCTTCCTTATTTTTTTGTCTGCGGAGGTCTAACTTTGTCTTCAGCCATTGCTCTCAACTGGGAAGACAGGTACTTTATGACCGAGACCCATCTGTGTCAGCCTGCAGTTCGTTAAATTCTTGTTTTATATTCTTTTTTTTTTTAATATAAAAGTATCTCTGGCCAGATCACCTGAGATGACAAGCGTATATGGTTGGTTGCCTTCCTTATTTTTTTGTCTGCGGAGGTCTAACTTTGTCTTCAGCCATTGCTCTCAACTGGGAAGACAGGTACCCTTGGCATTTTATTTATTCATTCAT